TGTGGCAATTGGAGGTACGAGAGCAACGCCAACAAATGCTGTTCCGACGAGGCAGCCAATCACAGGTTAGTTAAGAAGCTATTTTATGCCTATAAAGGGTGACAGCTTGGAAACGCAGAATTAAACAGCTGTAGCGTATTTGCTTTCGGGAAATGAGGCTCTCGTACAAGGGTATGCTTCTAAATGATTACAATTATAAATATCTGCGGCACAATGGTTATTTGAATTATGCAAATTTCCATGTTTCTCATTAATTTTAATGCTAGTTAATAGCGTGGCATGTTCGTGTTTGGAAACTATTTGTAACAGCTCCGGCTTGCGCTCCGACGCGACTTTATAATTACCGAAAACATGCATGTGAATAATTAGGCCAGGAATGGAGTATGAAGTAGGTTCTGGGGTGTGCAGTGTGCTCAATCACTCTCGGTAAAAGGGTTAATGAAGAGGGTGCGTGTCCTGGAGGTGCCCTGCAATCTTGCTAAAGAATGAGAAAGTATTAGGGATTTAATGCTATTCATAAAGGAGGAAGGCACTGGATTATGTCTTATAATGAAAGTTCTCGCCTTCCAAATGGTGGCCATATGGGGTTGATGCATCAGACTGTGCTGTTGAACCGCAGGGGTGGGGCCATGGGTGCACCTGGTTCAGCTAAAAGCTGATAGGCCCCCTCCTTTGTCGCTCACTGAGTCAAAACATATCATTGGTTAATGATAAGGTTGGCCTCTCAGCATGAAATATAACTTCACTTATCACTAAAATCACCTCTAATTTGCTTGCAGTTGGAGCGTAGACAGCGAGTGGTGCCATGCTGGGGGGCGGGAGGGGGGGGTGCACACAGGCTGGTGGATCATTAGGTGGCATTAGGCAGCAACCAGGGGAGCAGAGAGCGACAACGTCACCTGACCCGATCCATGGCGAGAATGTGCCTCACAAAGGTGGCAGAAGCTTGGGAAATTTCTTTTAATGACATGTTTATTATACTGTAGCTGGGAGGAGGACAACAGAGCTGGGGGGGGGGGCGGTGCGTGGTCCGGCGGGTTAGGTCTGCGCCCGTCAGCGGAAGGTCGCTGGTTTAAGCCTCGGCAGAAGAGTAATTGGGCTTGTGAGTAATGGTGCGTTCGATTATTTCTCTCCAAGTCGGAACTCGAAAAACGTCACTTCCCGTCGGAAACACGCCCCTTTTATGACGTTGAAGTCGGACAAGATTTTGTTGTCCGAGTTGCCCCTGTGACATAATTTCGACATGGCGACTTGGTTTGTTTGTAGTTTGTTTACTGTTCGAAAAAAGAATATCGCTATGAATGTACTAAAATATTTTATAAAGCTTTTAATGTGGTTTGGCTAGTTCGTGTTTCTTGTTTGTCTCTCGGAAAAATCTCCATTTCTCTATTTTCTCCATTTGGAAAACTCCAAATCTGCTAAAAAAATAAAGCAACAACACACAGCAACGTGTTTATGGAGGCAGCCATGTTTGTTCCGAGATGTGGGTAGCTCGAACGGGAGATTATCGGACGTGCTGTCACTCAACTCGGAATTTTCAAGTTCCGAGAGAAAAATATTAAACCCATAATCCCCGCCCCCCCCCCCCCCAAACCCAAATCTTCCAGGGGTGCTGGATAAATCACCTGACCCTGCACTAGCACCCCAAGCTTCACTCTCAGCTGAATATGTGTCTCTAACATGAGAATATTACAGGATATGTGAAGAGAAGCCTTCCAATGTACCTGTGCTCATCTCGCCATTCGGGAGGACGGCAGCGAGACAAACCGTGTGCTTATTTTACCGTCCCTGTAGGGGGCACCCTTCCCAGCGTCTGGACTGCGGAGTGAAGTGTAGTCATCATGTAGTGACCCGCTTTACTTTACAGAGTGTAGCACTATTTTACTAACTTTCTTTTACTCTGGAACTAGTCTTGTGAAAAACAACTCAGAGTGCAGAGCTCCCCCTTTCTTTAACAAAACAAATTTTTTCCCTATAAAAATGCATCTGGCGCTGAGCCAGCTGACCCGCTTCATAAAGGCAAAAATAAAGGAGGGAATAATCCTCCGAGTTGTGAGGCAGCTGTTGAATAACACGGCCTGCTGGTTATGGGGATGATTTGCATGACAATGCTTTGCATCCCCAGCGCTGATTTACTCCGAGCTGCAGTTGGCCTCCAGAGCCTTCATCTCGTCTGAAGGCTGTAACTGCTACGATTTACACTAAGAGGGCGCCTGTGGACGGCTCCAGCTGCGTTCCGCTTACGCCGAAGACCTTGTCGGGCCCTGCCTTGCCGTTCCAGTCTTCCTATCACGCAACTCTCCCCCATCACGCTAGATAATAAAACTCACAAGTTAATGTTGTTGTTTTTTTTCTTTACCTCATTGTTTAAGGCCAGTGTACTAGTTTAAAGACGTTTACCACCACCCAGGTATAAAGCTACTTGAAACAGCTGTTACTGTGCAGGAAAAAGTTAATACACATATATCTTTTTGATTAAATTTGTTATCTCATGTGGTGCACAGCCCATTAAAATTACCCACGAATGGGTTATTCATTTGCATTAATATGACTTCATATTATAATACACAGACAGAATGTAGTATATTTGAATTCTTATCGTCAGACCATAGCTCAAAGTCACCACTCTGTATTATTGGGGGAAGTTTGAACATATTTAAGGAAGATCCTTCTCTCTGGACTGAATTATGGGAGAAAACCTTTGGTACTTTAGAGTAAAACGGACCGCTGGAGTGCATGGTAATAATTAATCTAAATCAGTGTTTCTCAATCCGGTACTTGGGGACCCACAGACAGTCCATGTTTTTGCTTCTAATGGAAGCTGAGAGGGAGCAAAAATGTGGGCTGTCTGACAGGGAGCTCAGAGGGAGCAAAAACGTGAACCGGCTGTGGGTCTGGGAAACACTGATCTATATAATGGAGGCCTCCTCTGTCTCAGCATTAATCTCCCACAGTGCAGCACCACGGCAGGTGATATCCGGCTTCCCCCTTTTCTTATCCCATTCCCTTGGTCTCCCTGGCTCCTTCCACTGCCCCTCCCCTTCCATGTCATCCAGGCAGAAACAGCTGGATTACTGGCATCCACAACCTGGATTACACACGTCGCTCCATGGCCGGCACCCGCCCCACCCCTCCGCCTTCCCCGGTATAATTTATCATGGCGGCCTGCAGCAGATGCTGTCCTTAAGTCTCCCGTGTGTTATGCCAACTCTAATTTGCACCAGCAGCACTCTGTGTCATAAACAATAGCCCATGAATACCCCAAGTGCATCAATCCACTTGTCCTAGTTTACTGCGCTTGTACTGCACCCAACCACCTCCTGCTCTCAAATGTATTTGAGCCATAAACTGCGACAAAGGCGCCTCGTATGCAACTCCCGAGCCACGAGAATGTGAACGCCATAATGAGGGAAGCTCAACGGGGCCGAGGCGACAGTGCGAACGTGGCGGATTCTACGGTTAGCAGGTTTCAGGGAAAACCCGGGAGGAAAAAACGTAGCGTGTTTAGGGTTGGGGAAAGTGGCTTAGATGAAACGAGCTGGTGATTGATGTGGAGAAACTCGTGTCGCTTGGGTGAAGAGCAAATGCTAACCAGCTAGCAATGTAAGTGTGCATTATGGGTAAGTGTGCATTATGGGTAAGTGTGCATTATGGCAGCATTCCCACATAAGCTTGAGAGAAAGTCTAAGAAAATGATAAAACTGCAAGAAAGGGCTTCAACTGGTTGGAATCTCTATATGTGCTGCTAGTGCTGGGAAGAGGTGTTGTGGCTCAGTGGGTTAAAGTGCCTGTCTAATAACCAGGAGAACCTGGGTTTGACTCCCGGCCATGCCTTTGGTCAGCTGTGAAAGCTAGGTCCAGCTTACCCTATGTTGTTACTTCCTCTCAGTTCCCAACACACCTGTACCTGGTATTCTTGATTATTTGATTGGGGGATGCTGTCAGTTGGGAGGGAGCAAAACTGTGGACCGTTTGGCGGTCCCCGAAGACTGGGTTGAGAAACACTGCTCTGCAGGATGATATAGGACAGAGCGAAACAGGAAACAGCCAGGATGGTCATAAAGCAACGTTACTGCTGTGGGTTCTGGGAAAGTTCTATGTTCTGAATTCTGGAGACCAACAGTGTTAGTTTAACGTTGCTTGAACGTTCTGCTGAGGACCAGCTGTCGGCATAATTTTTACTCATTGTTTACAATGATCTGTATCATTTTGGCACGTCAAGTCTGCAGCCAACATTGAGTGCAAATAGTGACAGCTCAGTCAATGGGAAGATGCGACGCTTTACCTTAAGGTCACGAAGGTGACATTTAGAACAGCAAGGATGGTCAGACGTCAGTGCCTTGAGCTACATGAGGTCCATGAGGTCCTTTCTCCACCATTTTGCTCCCCTTCCCCATTTACTCATTCCTTCCAAGGCTGGAAGGAACCCTCCATATTACTGAGCAAAGCTTTGACTGGATCAGATCTCACCACACATGAAAACACCACAGAATCATGCTCCCATCTCCCTGTACAATAGGGAACATTCGCTCAAACTGTCAGATCTTTAAAATCATGCTTTTCCTGCATTGGAAAATCAGCGTGTAATAAATCATCGCAACATCAGAATTATGCATCATTAGGAAGAGCTGAAAGGAGGACGGTTCCTTTGCAGTTTACAAGCTTTTTTATCTTTGAATTCATCCAATAAGAAAAAAGACCAAGATGTAAAGGGCGATGTTGGAGGCAGAGGCGCAAAGCCCCCTGGGAGTAGGACAGACCTCATAAAGAAAGCACAACCTGTAGAATCAATGTCTCGATCCAGCTTGGATTTAAACCATGAGTTCAAAGAGGATTATCCAATGCCCAGATATTCTGTTAGTCTCCAGGCAACAGGTAGGATCCACTTACTGGATGCAATTTTACCATGGATAACGAGGCGACCATAGCCTGTTGTTGGTCCAGTACTCACGTGTACAGGGCAGCTGTGGGTCAGTTCTGTGCACGCACTAAAAGGATATGGGCTGGAGACCATGCGGATGCACCAGCTCCGAGGGTAGGTGGTCTGCTTGAGGCAGAAGAAGACCACAGGGGCCAGCTCGGGGAATGGCATCACTAGGGTGCTCAGGTCACTGGCGGCATCATCGCCCTGCCCCAGGTCCTCGATGGCCTCCTCCCGCTGGGCAGGGACATAGTCCTCACACACGCCCGCTCCAGTGTGAGACACCCCCAAGGTTCCGGGAAACTCCTCACTCGTCATGGCGACTCCTTTTCCTAGGACAGAGAACGACAATGGCGGAAAGCCGTCTGCAGATACGCACAAGTCGCAACAACGTTTTTGTCTTTATTCTGTTTGTGTTGCGTGATCCTTACCAATTGTTAGTGAGGAAAAGGTGTCCCCAAGCACGGCAATAGATCTACCGCCCCCACGTTTACGGAACTGAGGAATTGGACATGATAAATACCAGGTTTTTGGTTTCTGATTTTTTTTTTTTTTAAAAAAGGCTAAGAATAATCTTCAGTTTCAGCGCCGAGCCTGACACGATTTCAGAAAGCCAGAGAAACAGCTGAGTGTCGATTGTGGTTTTATGTGCTGAAATACTGTGCAGGGAAGCTGACAAGCTTTACTGTATAGAGCCACAGCCAGTCGATAACAGGAGAGACCGGCGTCGTGGAAGGAATCACTGAGAAACGGTACAAACAAACCAAGAATACAACAAATAAATATTTACACCCTCAGCATACTGTCAGTTCTTTATTGTGTAAGTTTAAAAATGTTATTTTAAGTACTTTTTGAAGTATACTGCCTGCAGTATATCCTGCATTCCTATTAGTCTTTTTTAAAAGGATTAACTTTGCCTGTCTGTCTATGCAGTTTAAAATACGCCATTTCTGTATTTTAAGCTACCCCGACTCTCCCTCGGCAAATTCTCCCTCAGTCTTTGTCACCATCGACAATCATGCCTGAAAACCTGAGCCACACCGGCGTTTTCGGCCGGGCGGCGTGGTGACAAAGTTTGGTGCGATTGCGGCATTATTGCGCTGCTACTGCCGAGGCACTTTGGCACCACAGAGAGACAGTCGGCGCCCTGTCATCGCAGTGGCTGGCGGAGTGACAGCAGTCACATGCCTTCACAGTAGGGATCCCCGCGCTGACGGGGTCACATAATCACAACTCGGCACAGGAGTCAAGCTGCCGGGATTGTGGGGACAGCGCTATGAGAGTCACCGCCGTGACACTGCTGTAATGCTGGAGTTTTCCCCTGTCAGGGTGACAGGGACGGCGTCGTAATGATTGGGCTGTGACACTGAAGTTATGTTGGTGTTCTGCTCTGCCAGGGACAGTGGGGACATTGTCATGACAATCACACCTTGGCACAGGAGTAGAGTTGGCATTCTTCACTGCCAGCGTAGCGGGGATGGTGACAATGACAATCATACAGTAGTAACAAACTGTCACAATGTGACACGAAACATATTACTTATTTATTTAGCAGGCGATTTGACAAACGAAGCTCCTGAATCTATCCAGCTCTGAGCAAACAAAAGCATTTGGGGATGGGGGTTAGAATGTCATGCCATGTAACAGGAGGCTGGTACCTCAGGGCGGTAAAAACAACTTATGGACAACTTGGAACCCAGAGGCCTTCAGGTCAATGACAAGAGGACAAGAAGGCAGGAGCTGAGGGGCAAAATGTGGAAGAAATCTCCCACGGGGGGCCTTTTCCGACATGAAAGGGAGCCTCGGGTAGAAGGCTGACATTCACCCCTCTTCAGGCGCCCCTTAAAACCACCACCCCCCCCCCCTTTGCTTCTCGACTGTGAGTCCAAGCCCAGCGTTGAAAGAGCCACTCTCCTTTTGAGTTAGTAACACACCAGTCAGATTTCAGCAAAAAAAAAAAGCAGGAAGAGACAGAATTTTTAAGGCACGTTTAAATATTAAACACACAAACAAAACCCCTGACTGGCTTTGTGTGAGGATTCAGCCTGGGTGGACACACACACACACACTCTTTCTCTCTCATACTAGGGGCTATTTACACCCAAAGAAAGCCAGAACACACAAGAAAAGGGTAAACTGGAAGTGGATCAGGTAAAAACCAACAAGCCACGTGACTGGCAGCAGGAACCTGTCTTGCGCTGCCAATCACATATAGGGGAAACAAATCCTAGAATGACTGTGAGCACACTGTGATCATCACAGCAGGTTTTGCACTGCTGCCATATAGTAGCTGAAGGCCAGCAAGCAGAGCCTGAGCTGCTTGTTTGTTTTCTCTGTTATTTGTGTGGGGAATAGCTACTTGGATGGTAGATGGACTTTTGGAGGGACATCAAGGGTGTGTACCAACAGGGGCACTGACCCCAGCTGAAAGCTGATTGGCTCCCTGGTGCTTATTCCCCTGTCACTCACTGAATACAAAGATTCCATTGGCTAATAATAAGGTTGGACCCTCCTTATCACTTACAGCCTCTCTTATGTCCACCTTCTTGAAAATCCTATCATCACCGCTAGGGGGGGACCCACAGCTGATTGCCTCTGTTTGCAGTGTGTGATAGCTGGCTACTGTCCCCCCCCCAAAAACATTTTTGATAAAAATGGAGCACTAACAGTAATGCCAGGTGGGTCAGCCTGGTGCAAGGCACCAGCAAATTAATGACTGCGGCCGGAGATTTTAATTACCTTAACGAGTCTGTGGAGAGCACTTTTCCCTGCAGCTAAAGTGCAGCGTAAAGGAATCTGTGGGCCTGAACCAAAATGTAATCGGTGCCTGTCTGGCGTATCCGGGGCCCAGATTGGCCGGGCAATAGACCCAGGTAGCCTGAGTGGAGCCGCGGGGCTGAAGGAGCCGGATACATCCAGGGAGGCCTGGCTACAGGCCGGAAGCTGTGCCGTGTGAGTCGTTTACTGAAAGGCAGGTCAAGGCTACGTCTGGAACATTCCGGTAATCCGTCTCAAGGAACCATAACCTGAACGGCACTTGCGACTGCTCCTCTGCAGGAAGCCAGATGTCATAAACTGAAGGTCTGTGTGTCAGTGCCTTCAACACGCGGTTAGTGCTTAACATTTCAGAGGGTTTTGTTACCGAGGCAAGTGGTACGTGGAAAAGTCTCAGAAGGAGAGGGAGGGAGGCCAGGCAAGTGGGGGGTAAAGCTGGTCAGCTGACCCGCAATGCCTAGCGAGCTAGCCGGAGTGTTCATTACCAGCATGAATCGTGGGGGCTCCCTGAATGCCAACCCCCTGTAGCCACTTCTGAGGTCTGAAATTCAGGTTTGACAGCTGTCACACATCTGGCGTGACACTCATGCTTTCAGACTCTAACGCAAGAAATCTTATGCCAAATCTATATCATTCCATTATAAACCTAAAATTAGCTACCTCAAAAGCACTGGGGTAGTTTGTAAACCCTAGAGACTATTTAGAAGGTAATAAAACTGTTACATACATGTAAATGCGTGTGCATGTGTGTGCAGACTTGACTCATTGGAAATGTCACGCAGTCAGCTGACCAAAGTTGGCCACCCTGGAGAATCGAGTTCCCTTCTATACTCCAGATCCCCAGATGCTGGAGAACCTGTGTTCATTTCACTGGTGAGAGTCCCTGCAGGACAGCGCTACGTCACACTGCTGGCGCCTTGAAGCAAACGACCAGGAGCAGCACTGGAGTCGCTGGCAGGACACGGAGCGCCGTCCGGTGCTGGATGCATCCATTGGCATGGCTGAAACAGAGGGGCCGTCTGGAGTGTCATTTCAAATGGGGGGCTACATGCTCCCACTCATATTCCCCCACTGCTGCATTTCTCTTTAGGCGCTCTTGTTGTTGCGTGGCTTGAACTTGGCTTGAACTTCTTCAGAAAAGGAACCAGGGAAGTGTAAGATTGGGAACTATGGCAGTCACTTTAGGTAAAAGTCTGCACAGGTCACTTTAACAAAAATCTAACGAAATATGATTTAACCACTTTATAAAGTGAAGTCTTCTCTTGGTTTGGGGGCCAGAATCAATCTATATGAGATTATACCCTTTGTGTGGAACAGCTGGGACATTACGGAACGCCGAAAGACATCAGCACAGGCTGTACCCAATCTGCCACTGTCCCCAAGGACTGTCCCCTATCATGTTGATTGGTGATCAGTGTGCAGCACCCTGCGTCCCCTCCCTGCGTCTCTGCGGGTGATGTCATGTTTGGCATGATCAGCACCCCCCCCCCGCCCCCATGGCTCAAAGCTCATTCCCTCCCACGTCTGTCAGAGAGAGACACAGGAAGGGCCTTCTCATGCTAACAGCTAACTGCTGCCTCAGCTCAGGGCTGTGGGTTCCGATCAGAAAATACGCTGTTATAGCTGGTCTTCAGAACGCAGATATAACGCGGCCTCCTCGCCCGCGAGCCTCTGTCGTGTTGGCCTGAAAGACGGCTCTTCCTCTCGTCACAGTCAAACAGCTCAAGATGAAATTCCCGCCTTGCTGAACTCCTATATCCATTTTTCAATACAGACACGCGTCACAGTCTAGCTGCTGAAGAAATGTGACTTTGGGACATCTGCAATTTAAAGTGAATAATCAGCCCCCCCCCCCCCCCCCCCCCCCCCCCCCCCCCC